CCGATGTCTGAGATTTTCTCTAATTTTATCCTGGGTTCCAAGATACTGAATTTGCATGAAGAAGATTATATACTTCTCCCTCATCTGCTGACATGAATTCATCCAAGCTATTTGCACTGTACCTAGGTTTTCAGCCGTCCTCATATTAGAATGGATGGAGGACCATGCTCATATCTGATGTCAAACTCTTGTGTACTGGGGCACATTCCCTCTCAATTATCCAAGGACATTGACCCAGCAGTTATGTTCCCCTTCTCTCCTTATCATCTGTTTCCCCTTTCTACTGAAGACTCATTCCCATTAGCAAATAAAACAGGCTATAATACCTATGAATTAAAATCTCTCCTTTGATACTACTTAACCCTTTAGCTACTGTCCCTTACTTTACTGTCCTTCAAAGCAAAGGAGAGTCTCCCTCACTGTCTCCATCCACCCATACCAGTCAGACTTTCCTCCCCAACATTTGTCTGAAAATTATACTTCTCAGAGTCAATGACACCTCCAACTTGCCAAACGCACGAGGCCATGGAGCAAATTTGAATCCTCACAGATGCAAGATTTAGAAATAAGGGTTGAACAGGATCAGTATTTCATTTTACGTTTTTTTTGTTACTTTTTTTCATCACCAGAACTTCAAATTCAAACTCTTCAAATGATAACTTGGCTCAGAACCCAACATATAAAGTATATTTTAAGAAAATAGACTGTCCTTGCTAAATCTGGACTAAGGGGTGGGGTTAGGTGGGTCTGCTCTGAAAGGGCAGGTCAAGAATTGGTGGAGGAAGCATCTAATCCACACAGCCCCAAATAATTTACCCTATAGGCCAGAAACACTGATGTTTTGCCCCAGAGATTTTCCCTGTTCTTTGAACAGTGCATGGTCCAGGGCCCCTTGCTATTACTGATTGCTAAGGATCCTAAACTTGAACCTCTTTGGCAGGTTGTGCGGGGAGTCTATGGCTGTCAGATTTTCTTCTCGATTTTTGTGGAACTCTTGTACAAATTAAAAACAAACAAAAAAAATCCCCTCCTTATCTAAACAGGACCTCAAGTTCATTCAAAGATGGTAATATTTCATCTGTGAGCATTTTCTAGCCTGACTTTAGAGGCAACTACTACTGATCGCTTTATTGGAAATTTCCATCAGGATTTCAGTCCAGCAGTCTGCAGCATATTACCTTTAGCTAGATTGAACCTTGAAGGAGCAGATTCTAGAATCCTGACAATCTCTTCAGATCAGTGGTTTTGGACCTTTTTTGTTCCATGAACACCATTAACAGCTGGTGAAGCCCATGGACCCCTTCTCAGAAATGCTTTTAAATGCACAAAATAAAATATATATTATAAATAAATCACATATATTGAAATGCATTCAGCAAAATATTTTTAAATGTGGCTAAGAAGCAAGATAAATATAGCAATAAAATGCTGCTTTTATTAATATTAAAGTATGAGAACCAGTAACTAGTCGAATAATTCTGTCATTTCTAAGTAGTGTTGATATAAATGATATGGTAAGATATTTACAGTCACTGTAATATAATAGGAAAATATTCTGTGATTTCTATTGGTGACTAAGGCACAAGCACAGTTAAAACTAATTTTATTTGTTGATTATAATTGAAAAAAATTATAAATTTTAGTTAGAGGTTAGTGAAACTAAAATATAATTTACCCCAAGTTCACAGACTGTCTGAAATCTTTCAGTAGTCCACCGGCCCAGTTCAAGAATCCATGCTCTAGGGGCTCCTGGCTGGCTCAGTTGGTAGAGCGTGTACCTCTTGATCTCGGGGTTGTAAATTTGAGCCCTCTGTTGGGTGTAGAGATTACTTAAAAATAAAATCCCTGCTCTAGATGAAAAGTCAACAAACTGCATTCTATAGCGTGTTTATCAATGGCTTGTAGGCTAAGAGTGGCTTTTACATTTTTAAATTGTTGAAAAAAAAATCCAAAGAAGGATAATAATTTCATGGCACATGGAAGTTATATGACATTCAAACTTCAGTGTCCATCAGTAAAGTTTTACCAGAACACAGCCATGCCTGTTCCCATTAAGTAATGAATATGGCTATTCTCACACTACACTAGCAGGGTTAGGTTGTTGGACAGAGATCACTATGGCCCTCAAAGCCTAAAATATTGATTATTGTCCCTTTACAGAAAATATTCTCCCAACCCTGTCTCTAGACCATTCCAACTCTAAAGTTTCTTGATGTGGTAGTGTGGCTATCAGGTGTTTTGTTCCTGGAGGTATTGAGCAGGTAGGAGCGATCCACCCCCTTGGACCACAAAGATCAAATCAAATGGGAGTTGGGAGAGGTAGAGAAAGGAGGAAGAGGACACAGAAGTGTGACTCACGCAAGGGCCCATCTGCTCTTGAGTCAGAAGTGGTCTCCCTCTAGGTGTGGCATCCACCTGGCCTTCCAAAGTGTACCCTGGGAAGGGTGATATATGATTCTGGTGTATTCCACACTCCTTCCCCCTATCCCCAACAACCAAGTTGCCTCCTTCTGCCCCTTCTCTGCACCTCCCTAGCTGCACCATCAGGTCATCCTACTGAAACCTTCCTCCAAACTCCCAGGCCACCTTTTTTGTGACTGTATATGACTCAAAGAGCATGGATATGGATGAAAATGTACAACTTGAATGAATTTGAAAATTGGTTGGTTAGCTAGAACTAGGGATGGGTAGTTAGTGGACATGGAACAGAATTAGTCTTTACATTAAACTATATAGAAAGCATTTAAAACATATGGCTGTCTTCATCATAGTGTGAATTTCTGTTCCCTCCAGTTGCACTTCTGACATGTTACTTTGTTTAAAATATTTTTTCTGACTTACAGAGAGAAGCGGGAACCTTTAACACTAACAGCCTGTGTGCAACCTTTTAAGCATGATTCTCAAAACCAGATGTTTTCAGAATGTGGCTAGGCTATCCAGCCTTTCTTCTTTGAAATATGGCAACTTGAAATGGCTTACTAATCCCACATTTACCCCCTGCAGACATTGGGCATATTGCAAAAATTACATTAGATTGGCATGAATTGGCATCCCAGTGGCCTGCTTCCCTCCCATCTCACAGTAGATGCTCACAACTTCTGATGGCCTTCCTTCTCCAGACCCCATAGCAGGTCCTGAGCCCTCCCTGTGCTGATGGAGACAGAATGTCTTCTCCAGTTTCACTCTCAGATGAGCCCCCTCCAGCCTATCAAGGTGGAAAAAGGCCAGCCAGGCTGCAGGCAGGGAGCTGGGACTTGGAGCAAGAAGCCACAGGAGCTCAGCACCACAAGCACTCAGACTAGACCAGACCATGGTGTATGGCCTTTGGGGCAAGAGGCAGCAACCCACACCCTCTGCTAGCAAGGCTTTAGACTAGTGCTGTCCACTAGAAATATAATGGAGTTGTATATGCGATTTTAAATTCTCTAGTAGCCACATGTTTAAAAGTTAAAAGAATCAAGGGAATTAATTTTTTTTAATTTTATTTTATTATGCTATGTTAGTCACCATACAATACATCATTAGTTTTTGATGTAGTGATCCATGCTTCATTGTTTTCGTATAACACCCAGTGCTCCATGCAGTACGTGCCCTTCTTAATACCCATCACCGGGCTAACCAATCCCCCCTCCCCCCTCCCCTCTAGAACCCTGTTTGTTTCTCAGGTCCATAGTCTCTCATGGTTCATCTCTCCCTCCAATTCCCCCCCCCATTTTTCCCTTCCTTCTCCTAATGTCCTCCATGCTATTCCTTATGTTCCACAAATAAGTGAAACCATATGATAATTGACTTTCTCTGCTTGACTTATTTCACTTAGCATAATCTCCTCCAGTCCCATCCATGTTGATGTAAAAGTTGGGTATTCATCCTTTCTGATGGCTGAGTAATATTCCATTGTATATATGGACCACATCTTCTTTATCCATTCATCTGTTGAAGGGCATCTCGGCTCTTTCCACAGTTTGGCTATTGTGGACATTGCTGCTATGAATGTTGGGGTGCATATGGCCCTTCCTTTCACTACATCTGTGTCTTTGGGGTAAATACCCAGGAGTGCAATTGCTGGGTCATAGGGTAGCTCTATTTTTAATTTTTTGAGGCACCTCCACACTGTTTTCCAAAGTGGCTATACCAACTTGCATTCCCACCAACAGTGTAAGATGGAATTAATTTTAATCATATATTTTGTCTAACCCAATATAACCAACATATTCTCATCTTAATAAGTCTTCCATATAAAAAATTATTAATAAAATACTTTAAATTCTTTCTTTTGTACTCAGTCTTCAAAATCCGTGTGTATTTTATAATATATCATCTTAATTTGGATACTAAATTATCACCGCAAATACTTGATCTTTTTAGGTTTTCTATATTAATAGCTGAGAAACTAGAGTCACATGCCTGAGTTGTTCCAAATGTATTTAAAAGGTTTTCCAATAACTGAATCAAGTCTTCATTTTGAAGGTTAAATTTGAATTCATTAAAATGAAATAAAATTCGAATTTCAGTGCCTCCGTTACTCTAGCCACATATCAAGGGCTCAGTAGGCACATGGAACTAGTTAGGCTATTGTATTGGGCAGTGTAGCTGTGGACTCTGCAAATTCCCCGAGCTGAAGAGGTCTGGTCCCACTCCTCAGGAGATGAAGATGGTGTAGACCCAGAGGAGGTAAGTTTTCCCAGGAACTCAGAGAGTGGAGGCTTTGAGGCCAGCCTGTCCTGACTCCCCTCCGCTGCTCTGTCCCCCACACTGTGCCGTGTAACTGTCACTAAGGTGATTCTTAGAATTAACCCACAATGACTCTGCCTGCATTGAAGCTCCATTCATCATAGCCTTAAGTCTTTAGGGCTGCCAACACAGGACTTATTAAAGTCTGTCGGCACTGTCGCTGTGGTCAGTATGCACGGAAGCCACCCGGGTGCATAACAGGTGTTGTCCTTGTCTCCCCCACCTCCCTGTCCCCATGCTCACCTGGTCTCCGGTCAACCCCAGCAATACTTCATCCTGCTGATCCTCACTGATGGTGTCATCACAGACATGGCCGACACCCGGGAGGCCATTGTGCACGCCTCCCACCTGCCCATGTCGGTCATCATCGTCGGGGTGGGCAACGCGGACTTCAGTGACATGCAGATGCTGGATGGAGACGACGGCATTCTGAGGTCACCCAAGGGAGAGCCTGTCCTTCGAGACATCGTCCAGTTTGTGCCCTTCAGGAACTTCAAACACGTACGCATATCTCTGGGGCTTCCCATGGGAGAGCAGAACCAAAGCAAGCTCACTCCCACAGTTTCCTACCAGTGTTTGGGGTAAAGCAAGTGCTTCTTAACCAAGCTATCTCTGCCCGGGCCAGGCTGTCTCACACCCAGGATATGTAGAGCTTCACTCTCTGGAGAAAGACGTGTAACTCAAGTAATAGCCGAGGAGTCATGCAAACTGTGGCAGCCAGCATTTCACTGGTGCTTGCCCTCATCCATGTAATTTAGGCTCTCTAGTGCATGCAGGGCTCCATGTACAGTTGGGCGGGTTGCTCTCCGCCTAAGGGTGCCTGGCTGAAGTAGCGAAGAGAAGCTGAAAGTCAGCGTGGGTTCTCTTTGTCAAGCCATGTACCCTGGGAGAAGCCTGTGTTTGCCTTGGAAAAGTATATTTTTGAAATCATAGTAACCTAAATCCTCTGTAAATATACAGTAGGCAGCATCAAAGATTTATTTAACTCATTAATGAGGGAACCAGAAAGACGACAAAGCTAGTTCAAAGGAGGGTATAAAATAGTTGATTATGGGAGGGGGGGGGGAATACTGGAATAAGTTTCCTAAGGCAGATTCAAACTGGCTAATGACCAAAAGGGTTAAAAAATCATCATCATCATCTTTAGATTACCTTGTCTACCGGGCAGAAATCTTATCACTTTTCTGCAAGTTAACATTTAGCTTTACAGTCTTGGATTCCCATCAATAACAAATAGTAGGTCAAGCAGTGTCACAGTCCCCAGACGACCCTGAAGCATCCCCAAATTTGGGATAATTATCAACTCCACAAAAGAAGAGGCACCTTTATTTTATTTTCTTTTTTTAAGATTTTATTTATTTATTTGAGGAGAGCGTGAGAGAGCACAAGCAGGGAGGAGGGGCAGAGGGAGAGGGAGAAGCAGGCTCCCCACTGAGCAGGGAGCCCGACTTGGGGGCTTGATCCCAGGACCCGGGATCATGACCTAAGCTGACCTAAGCTTAACCAACTGAGCCACCCAAGTGCCCTGAAAAGGAACTTTTAAAATTTACACAAAACCCTGCACCCTTAGGGCTGCAGTGGGCCAGGGTGACACCCTCTCTGATTCTCACAAAGGCTCCCTCTGTGCTTGGTAGTGGCCCTGAAGAAGCCTTTGGAGCCTCCTCCAGCTGTATCTGGGAGTCACATAGGGCGTCACAGACAGTGTTTCCAAATGAAACCACTTGCTAAATAAAAGAGGCTCACCAAGCCCTCAGATCGTCTGCACGTAGGAGTGGTATCCGCTATGTGGAGGGATGTCCTAGAAGAGGTGAAATTTGCTGCAATCGTGTTCATCACGACTGAAGTGATGTGAAGTGACTTACTTGCATAATGCCCAAGGTGGGGAAAGGGGGTTGTTCTTCCAGATTTTCATGTCCTGCCCCATTTTGTCAGCTGGACAGAAGTAGCCACATCACTGACCACCACCCATTACTTTGCATGAGTGAAGTGGGGTCAAAGAGCTCACTCCCTAGGAGATTCATGCACTTCCCCAAACCACCGTCTTTCTGTCCCTGCATGCACGCACACGTGCAAACGCACACACACACACACAGCCGCAGAGCCATGCACGTTACAGCCTCTCCCCCAAGCTCCTCCTGTTCCTCAAACACTCATGGAGCGCCTGTTGTGGGTGCAGCATGAGCTCGCCTGGGGCCGCGGTGAGATGATAAAGCCGTGGGTCCAGTCCCCAAGGAACATATTGGAGAATTACATGGTTGGGACATAGGTGTCAGCAGAAAACTCCTGTGCTAAGCAACCTATGGGTGGTGAAAAGGGGCTCAAATGTTGCTACAGGACTTGAGAGCAGAGAGGAGCAGCCGTGAGGGAAGCCTGGCAGCTTGTGCTGGTAAGAGGAAGGACAGACCGTTGGTGCGCAGGGAGTTGAGGGGGCCTCAGCAACAAGGGAAGTGCCCTGCCCAGGGCAAGGGAGTGGGGCCCTGCTCGCAGGTGTCTTCTACACAGTCTCCAGCTGCTCTGTGGGTGACGAAAACAGCACCGGGAGCATATCACGCCGCTTATCTTCACGGACTTCAGCTTAGAGTTTGAAAACCATATCATTATCCAAACTTATCTATTCTGAATTCAATACACAGTAAAGAAAATGGAAGGTGAGCTAACATCCTTTCATATAAGCCAGTAACCCATGAATTGCCTCCCTTTGCGTGCAAAGCTTTGAAGTGGACAGGGCACAGACTCTGAGCTGTGTAGCTCCCCGCAAGTTATTTAACCTTACTGTGCCACAGACTTCCATCTGTAAAATAAGGCAAATGACAGACACATTAGAAGAGTAAAGGTGGTGCCTATATAAAGCTTAGCACAGCACCTGGTCGTCGCAGGTGGTTAATAAATACCACTGCTGCTACCAGCTGCTTTCCCATTTTTGGCCTTTTCCCAACCAGATAATGCCCCCAAGTCCTAATTGCTCACCAGAGCCACCAGCCCAGATACGCAAAGGAGTGGGAGAGTCATTTAGAAACTGTGCTGTCTAGATACAGTGACAAATAGCTACGTGGGGCTATTTAAATTAACTAAAATGAAATTTAAAATTCAGTTTTTCAGTCACACCAGCCACCTTTCAAGGGCTCGATAATCGTGTGTGTCTAGTGACTACCGCACTGGACAGGGCAGATACAGAGTATTTCCATCACTGGACCAAGTTCTATTTGACAGCACTGTTGAGGGATAGCATGGCTTCACATAACAGCAGATCCATCTTACAGTGGATTGCACAAGTGGTTCTTAACCGAGGACAACTTTGGCAACATCTGGAGACATTTATGATGGTGACAGCTTTGGGGTGCCATTTGCATGTAGTGTGTAGAGGCCAAGAGTGCTGCTAAACATCCTACAATGCTCAAGACAGTTCCCCACCCAAAGAATTATCTGGCCCAAAATGGCAATATTGCCCAAACTGAGAAACCCTAGATTGTATAAAGACAAATACGTTGTTCTTAGGTAACTAGATGTTAGGGACTGGTGGCTGCCCACATCTTTTTTTCAGTGATTTGATAGTATCAGGGCAAGCACTTGGTGATTCCCCTTGCTGTTTGCTCATGATGATAAAACAGTTGCCATAGCTCCAGGAATTACATTCTAGTTCAAGGAAAAAAGGAAGAGGAAAGGAAAACAGAACCAACCATGTCTGTCCCCTCTAACCAAGAAAGAAAAGCTTTCCAAGAAACATCCTCATGTCTTAAAGGATGAAACTGGGTCATATTGGGGCGCCTGGCTGGCTCTGTCAGTGGAGCGAGCGACTCTTGATCTCAGAGTCATGAGTTCAAGCCCCACGTTGGGCATGTGGCCTTCTTAAAATAAAAATTAAAAAAAGAAAGAAAGAAAGAAATTGGGTCATATGGCCATCCCTGGGTGCAAGGGAGGCTGGGAAATTAAGTGTTTGGCTTTCTAGCCTTTATATGAGATGCTGCCAGAGAGAAAATGGTAGGAATGGCTTTCATAGCTACCCTAGTGTACGTGTGGACCATGCTCTAATCCACAACCCTGAGCAGACATTTATAAACTAAAAGAGCATTCGTGGATGCCAAGTGCCCAACATGCTAGGACATCTTTGAAATGTGAGGGGTCACTTTTGAAAAACCCCTCACCGTGTTTTCAGATTGTTTTTAAGATTAGTGTCTCTCTTTTGAGCCTCCTAAAAACTGTGAGATAAAACCAATCCCTGTTCTTTGCTATTTCGTCTCTGAGAACACTGGGGCTTAGCCAAGTCGAATGGCTGAGTGGCAAGCCACATGAGGAAGGAAAGAGCAAGAAACCAGGTCATTCGGCATTTAGTCTAGCCCTTTCTTTACTTTGCTGAGGAATCTCAAACACTCGTTAACTGGCCCCTCGGCTTCAAGTTTTCGGCTTCAATAATAGTTAATAATGAGGCTCAGGCAATTTTACTTGCCCAGGGATTGGAAAGTTAGTACTGAATGCCAGAGCCAGAAGACAGATCCAGCTCTGCATGACTCCAGAGTCACGCAGAATACCAACCTCCACCTTCCTCTGCCCCAAATCAGACAGTGGGATCATAATGCTGATAGAATAAAGGCTACATTAATCAGTGGTATTCAAGATCCTCCATTGCCTGGCCGCAAGCTTATTTTCCAACTGAATACCCCCACAATCCTAAATCCGCAACACACACACACACATACACTTTCTTTAGCCCCATCAGATGACTCACTGTACCTAAAATGATCAAATGTCATTCCCCTTCTCTACATTTTAAAACATGCCCAACTTAAACACCACCTCCCCTTGGAAGCCTGCTGTGATTTCCTCTAAGATGACTTAGTCTTTTCATTTTCTGTACTCTGGTCCCAGGGTGCTTGTGACTCTAGAGCAGTGCTTCTCAAATTTCAGTATGCATAGGAATCACCCTAGCGCATCGAGTTAAAATGCAGATTATGATTTAGTAGCTCTGGGATGCTTCTAGCCTTCCATATTTCTATTAAGCTCCCATGTGATGTGATGCTGCTGGTCTGTAGCATGTAGCAGTGTTCATGTGGGCCACACCAGGCTCCCCTCTCATGATTATAACTCCCTTAATGGCAAGAACCACAAACCCATAAACCCTAGCACAGTGCCTGGAATTGAATGCAAATTGGGAACAAAACAAAGAAAATTCATTCTGCCCTCCAACTTTCACCCATCTTCAGATATGAATAGTTTTATATTTTGAGACAAGCATGGGAAAATATAATTATGAAATAAAAGGTTCATTTTCCAAGAATCTGACAACTCTTGGTTGGAGTAGATGCTCAACAAATATCGGATGAATGAATGAAGGAAGGAAGGAAGGAGAGAAAGGGAGACTAGCTGCTCAGAGCAAGACTGCAGTCTTTTAGGCTGATTCTGGATCAGATTCCTTTGGCCAGGTGCCAAAATCATGGTGATTTCTTCTTTCCTCCAGGCATCTCCAGCTGCCCTGGCAAAGAGCGTGTTGGCTGAAGTCCCAAATCAAGTCGTGGACTATTACAATGGCAAAGGAATTAAACCAAAATGTTCATCGGAAATGTATGAGTCTTCCAGGACACTAGCACCATGAACTCCACATACTTTTACAGAGTTCTGAAATACTATTCCTGCTAATATTTAATACTTCTACTACTCCTGTACTTAAAAAAAAACACGCACACTTACACATTTAAAAAATAGCACGTTTTGGTGATTTTTAACTGACGATTTTTTTTGCATGTGTAGCCCTGAGGCCTGGATCTGTTCAGCTCTTGTATTGTTAAAGACTTTTTACAAAGAAACATGAATAATTATAACTTACTCTTTACATTACAGCATGTCGCCTTGAAATAAAATGTTATCTGTATCTGTTTTTTATACAGGTTTGTTGAAATTTTGCTAAATTTCTTATTATCTTTACACTGTAAAGCATTTTGACACATTTATTGAACGTTGACAGCCAAAACATAATTTGGTTTTATCTGCTACAGGATGAGAGACTTTTCAAAATGGCAGATGCATGGACTGTATTTTGCATGTTTAAAATAAAAAAAAAAAAACCTACACTGTTTTTGCAACTGTTATCTATAATCCCTCCCTGCTAAGAATGGTCTCTTTATTGAAGAAGAGGTTTACCCACCTAGACATAGTCTTCTAGAAGTGGGTCTGGAGCACTTAGCCCAGCACCTCTCAGACTTTACTGTGCACACAAATTACCTGGAGATCTTGTTACAAGTCAGACTGTGGTGCAACAGGTGTGCGTGGGCCTGAGATTCTGCATCTCTAACAAGGTCCCAGGTGATGCCATTGCAGTCCACACTTAAGAGTACTGAGGTTCTAGACTCTGGGGTGTCGTCCCAGAGACCATCTGACACAGGGAAGCACCTAGTCTGCTTGAGAAGGGCACTTTTCCCCTGCTAGTAGCCCAAAAGTCCCGCCTGTCTCCGAGGTGGGAATAAAAAGTAGTGAGACTGATTCCAGAAGCTGCATACCCCACATCAGTCTCACTGCTTTATAGTCACACCTCTTCCTTAAACAGACTAGGGAGTATTCCTTCTCACCAGCCTCCGCCCTCTCAAAGGAGGCATCCCACAACCTCAGTGGGAATGGTTCCATTTTTATGTCAACCCCTTGGAAGGACCTCAAAGAGTCTTTGGTGGCACCACAACCACAGAAACTCGTCCATGGCAAATGGCCATGCGGTATGGCCCCCCAGAAACTTGGCCCGCCAAGTTGATCTTTAAGCTTAGTGTGGGGCGTCTTGTTGCCTCTTTTTATCACTCCTGAGAACAAAGTCTATCAGCAGAAATGCCTAGGATCATTGTTTTGCGTGGAAGTGTTTTGTTTTGATATGAACTGGCCAGTCTTGAACCAGAAGAATGAATGTTTCACTTGTGTAATGTTCTCACAGAGAAATGGACAAGTGTTTTGCAGGTATAAAAGGCACAAGGAGGAATTTATTTTTGGTGAGAGAGATAGGGAGTAAATCACAAGGCAAAATAGATCTGTTTGTTGTTTGTTGCAGGAGGAAGTATTAATAAGCAAAGCAAATGCCTTGTATGATTTCCGGTGTTATAGATCCTAACCTTGCAAATACATGTCAGCCAAATGCACAACATTTTGGGAATGATGGTAAAAAAAAAAGTGTATGACTGAAAAAAATCATAAATATTTCAACTGTATTGTTTTATGAATAAATTGGGTACTTACAGAATTTTTTCTGAGAGTTATAGTCTTGTTTCTCTTTTCAAGGCAATTCGCTAACAGTGATTTATTTCGTGTAGACGACATGCCCTCAGATTAGGACTAGCTCTTTCACAGTCCCACAGAAACAAAAAGATATTGTTTTTAACAAACAGGGGATTAAAATATGTAGGCCCTATTGTACAGAATTATCTGATGGTGGTTTCTAACCCCAAAGGAGGACACGAGCTTCCATGTAGATGTGCCTGGAATATAGCAAGCACTCAATAGATACTTAATGAATAAAGAGATGACTAATTGAATGAATGAATGAATAGACTTGTTAATGTGCCTCTTGAGTGATCTCAAATCTATTGTCGATTTAAGAGGTGAATTAAGTGGCTATGCCTGTCAATCAAAATGATGCACCACTATGTCATTCTCAAATATCTGTTGGGATCTATTACATTCCTGTCAGGATCCCTGGGATCTGTGAGATTGGGTGACAAGTACAGAGTCCAGTTTGCCTAGCCAGAACCTTATGGCAGCTTACGTCCTTTTTCATAGCCAGAATGAAGCCCCGCTCAAAAGAATAATACAAATAGTAGCTAACAATTATTGAGGGCTTACTGGTGCCCCGTACTGTTCCAAGTGCTTGCTATATACTATCTCATTTAATTCTCCCGGCAGCCCTATGAGGTAGATAATATTATTAGTCCCATTTTGCAGATGAGGAAACTGAGACATAGAGAGTTTAGGTAACTGATGCAAGGTCACACAGCTATCAAAAGACATAGCCAGAATTTGAATGTAGACTGGCTCCTGAGCCCATTTCCTAATCCTGATTTCAGCTGCCTTCCTGGCCCTATACCTATTTGCCATATCAAGCAGTAGATAATTAGGACATTTGAGAGAATGAGGCTTAACACATAACCTTTGCCTCTATTTCAGAAATTTCTCTCCCATCTGGTGATCTCCGCTTCTTGATGTAGGCTCTGCAGCAGTGGAAGAGAGCCGGGATTCAGCCAGGTCTTCCCAACTTCCTGCCACCAAGGAGACCATGTGGATCAGACATTACAAACACAAACACTCCCAGGAGCTGAGCGAGCCATGTGAGCAACTGAGGAGGAACACGTTTAAACAAGGGACATAAAGAGTAGAGTGTGGTGAGGATGGAGAGAAACTGGAAAGCAAGTGTCCCAAAGAGGGTCCGGCCCCGGGGGCCCTGCACAAGTGTGGACCCAATGCAGCCAGCCCATCAGTTTCCCAAGTGAATTGGAAATTGTGGTATTTCATATTTATTCAGGATTCAACAATTGTTTTAAATACTACAAGGGCCAAACTGTAGGACTCAAAGGAAAAATACCTCTGGGCTTAAATTGGCTTGGAGGGCAAATATGGACCCATGTGCGGTCTGCGGACCACGGGCCCTCAGTTGATAACATACACTCCAAAATTCTACACTCCAAAATTCTTGGGGACCCCAAAGAGATTTTATTTCTGTGGTTTATATCTAGCAATATTTGCTGTATTCAAAATATTTATTAATTCATTTACATAACAATAATAAACCCATTACACACTAACATAAATAAAATATTCATATTTTAAAAACTATTTCAAAATAAAATAAAATAAAATAAAAAACTGTATTTCTGGGGTGCCTACTGGCTCAGTCAGAAGAGCGTGCAACTCCGGATCTCAGGGTCATGAGTTCGAGCCTTACGTTAGGCGTAGAGATTACAAAGAAATGAATGAATGAATAAATGAATAAATAAATTTTCAAAACCAAAAATAGCGAGGCAAGCAGCATTGTACGTCTTGCTTAATAAAAGCCAGCTGGATTCTCATATCTCCTTCTGCACTCACCCTGTTGTATAATGATGTTTTGGTTGAGGTACAACGAAGAAACTCTAGCCTTGCATGGCTAGGTATGTGGTAAGGGGAAGAGTATTTTCAGCCTTCTCAAATAACTGTGCTAATTCTTTTCACCACACCAAATCTCAACAAGTTTCTTAAAGGTTAGTTGCAATGTGAAATATGAAATCACGTCAATAAACCCTTCCTGGCATTTTCAATGTTCTTTTACCCATGCATGACTTTGTAACATCGTGCACCAGTCACTTGGGAAATATTGATCCGCTCACTTATTTAGATGTTCTAAATGCTTACATAGTTTAGTTTACCACACCAAAAAACTCACATTCTTTTGCTGCAGAACATCTCTGCTATCTCATCAGACAGACTATTGAGAATCTGTCAAATTATAGTGCCGGATTCAGGGTTTCCAAAATTCTAATCTTTGCTAGAAAGCTCAAATGTTTTCACCGGCAACAAATACTGTCAGTTGTTTTTGTTGAAGTGACAGATGCATTTCATTCATTTTCAAGAAAGTATCTCCCAAATACCCACATCTGAATAACTCTAGTTTATATCAGTCTTTTTTTTTCCCCCAAGTATAAATGGCGTTCTGTGAAAAAAACAAAACCAAAAAAAGCAGCCAGTTCAGGTCACAACAGGAAGGCACGCATGCCTTCATTTGAGGCAACCGTCTTTGGTCAGACTACAGTAGGTATGCTGTATGTGTGCTTTGCATTTTGTCACCCAGCATATGAAGAAGCCATGGACTCAAGGATCAAGACTTGATAAAACTACTCACTTTTCTGCTCCATCAAGAACATCCTTAAATGAAACCGTGCATTCTTTCCTGGTCAAGTGTGGTACCATCTTCTTGAAGTGAGCTCAGATTCCAACAGTTTGCCCTCCAATGCTTTTGCAACATTGGTACAAAGATCAGCACAGTGAAAAAGGCATTTTATATCTTCGTGTTATTATGAAAAGAGTTTTGACATCACAGACTCCCTGGAAGGGTCTCAGGGACCTTTGGGAACCACACTTTGAAAACTGCTCGCTCTAGACCACTTGACAAATAGTATATTAGTTTGCTCTTCCTGCAGTACGGATTACCACGAGCTTAGTGGCTTAAAACAACACATATTTATTATGCCACAGTTTCTATAGGTCACAAGTCCGGGAAGATAGCTAAGTCCTTTGCTAAGGCCTCATAAAGCTGAAATCAAGATGTCCACAGGATTGCATTCCTTACTGGATGCTCTGGGAAGGAATCTGTTTCCAGGTATATTCAGGAGGTTGGTTGCCGTTGTAGAACTGAGGTCCCATTTCCTTACTGGCCGTCAGTTGGGGGAGGGGGAGTGCTCTTGACTCCTAGAGGCTTTCCACATAACCCCTCCAGCACCGGTGGGTCAAGTATCTTCAAACATTGAATCTCTCTGACTTCTGTGGCATCCCTCTGACTCCAGCCAGAGAAAGTTCTCTGCTCTTAAGCGTTCACGTGATTAGACCGGACCACCCAGGTAACTCAGGATTCACTATCCTGAGACCAGTACCTTTAGTTACATCTGCAAAGCCCCTGATGTCATGAAATATAACATGTTTATAGTTTCCAGGGATTAGGAGTTGGACATGTTTGAGAGGCCATTGTGCCTGCCACAGAGAGAATGCAAGATATTGCCAGATGATTCAAAAACAAAATGTGGTGTGTTCAAGAACTGTAAAAGGGTTGCCCGTGGAGACAGAAGGAGACTATCGACGAGGTCAAGGAGTGGTGGTATAAATACCTGCCGATTCCAAATCTCTGCCCAGGAGAGCTCATTCTAAATATGTTTGAATAGCTCCCTTTTTCAGTCTTTCTAGCACTTGCTAAATACCAACCCTGCACTAGGCTTGAGGGCGAGGATGAGGAGTGGCAGGGGGTGGCTTGGAAGAAGCAGGAGGAAAAATACATGGTGTCGGCTCTGCTCGCAACCTAGAGCTGCCTTCTGATTCTAGGACTTTGGAATCTTATTGCACATATTTTCCATGCCTTAGTATTTAAGACCTATAATATCTAAAGACTTCCTCATGAGGATGTTCTTCAATACTAGAAGTAGAAGAGTAGAGGGAGAGAGGTAGGGACGCATGTGAGAAGAAACAGCAAGCCTGCCAGCCATTTGCAGCATCATCCTCCGCTTTGCCCCACACGTGACCTAGACCTTCAAACTAGTCCTAAACAAAACTAAATACCTATACACTCTGTGCCCTCCTCTTGAGCACGGTTCAGTGGAAATACCGAGTGTTTTCAAGCCAGGGTAAGTGGATCCAAGTCCAATCTTTGCTACGTAAGAGTTGGATAATCTCTCGAGTCTTCAGTTTTCCCATCTGTGAACACAACATGCATCTGACGTCCACTGTCCCCTATCTGATCCTTGCCCACCTCTGGCCACCCCACCTCACACTGTGATCTAGCCACCTCTTCTCGCTGCATTTGTTGAAGCGTCCCCTGCCATCCCTTCACTCAGTTGACTTCTACTCATCTTTGAAGCCTCAGGTCAGGCACCAGCTCCCCTCAGAAGCCCCTGGATTTGGCCAAGTATCCCTCCTGCCCCTTCCCTCGTTTAGCCTGTACATGCCTCTCTCAGAACCTTTCTCTCCAACTAGAACTAAGTCTCTCCCACAGAGCAGAGCGCTGTCTCACCCACCTTTGCACCCCAGGTCTTATTATTGGTGCCAATTCATGATGAGAGCGTGCAGGAATAAATCAGGAAAGGGGGGTACATTCTGATGGGAGGGAACGAGGTGTGTGATAGAACCTCACTGAGGTCCTCTGAGAAATGCAGCTGCTGAGCACAAATCAGATTCTGGTGCATTAAGTTCCATTACACCAAAATTCTCAGTATAACACAAAGATTTTCAGGCAAACACCATTAAGGACAACAAACTTCCAAAACAAGAGAATGTAGCCAGTGCCTTAAGGTTTACGTAATGTAATTACATAATCCAGATGTCTCCCAGACTTCTCCAGCCTTTCATTAAAACCCCCAATAGAACAGTCATGGAAATGTCTTGGAGATGGTGGTGCACCACAGTGTGAATGCACGAACCGTCCCTGAATTGTCCAGGTTAGAATGGCTGATTTTCTGTTGTACGTGTTACTTTATGTGCATTTCACCTCAATTTAAATAATTTCTTTTTTTTT